CATCATATTAGAAGTAGCTAGATTCTCATAGCACATGAAGTCAAGATCAAATAAACTACATTAGTGGTACTACTCCCAGATCTGGAATGCAGGCTTTTTGGATCAGCTTTATACAATAGATCATAATACTTGATTAAAGAACCAGTTAAGATTCTCAGTACTTCAATAAAGCCTAGGAACTATGGGATCACTACTTCCCCTAATGTGACTGCAAGATTTAATAGGGATTTATAATTGAGCAAGCTCTTAGTTAATCTCTGGGAGTAAATGGTATTGTTTAGTGAGGCAAATAATTATAATACGTACAAGAATAATTATGACTCAATTCACAAAAACACAAATCCATTGCTTGTTTAAAAATGGTTCCCTGAATAATAATAATAATAATAATAATAATAATAATAATAATAATAATAATGTTGGAAGGTCATCGAGTCCAACCCCCTGCTCAGCCAGGAATCCTATACCATTTTGGACAAATGGCTGTCCAGTCTCTTTGTAAAAACTTCCAGTGTTAGGGCATTCACCGCTTCTGGAGGCTGGTTGTTCCATTGGTTAATTATTCTGTCAGGAAGTTTCTCCTTAGTTCTAGGTTGCTTCTCTCCTTGATCAGTTTCCATCCGTTGCTTCTTATCCTGCCTTCAGGCGCTTTGGAGAACAGCTTGACTCCCTCTTTTTTTTGGCAGCCCCTGAGATATTGGAACACTGCTATCATATCCCCCCTTGTCCTTCTCTTTGTTAAACTAGACATACCCAATTCCAGCAACTGTTCCTTATATGTTTTAGCCTCCAGTCCCCTAATCATCTTTGTTGCTCTTCTCTGTACTCTTTCTAGAGTCTCAGCATCTTTTTTTACATCATGGTGACCAAAACTGGATGCAGTATTCCAAGTGTGGCCTTACCAAGGCATTGTAAAGTGGTATTAATACTTCACGTGATCTTGATTCTATCCCTCTGTTAATGCAGCCTAGCACTGTGTTGGCATTTTTAGCAGCTGCAGCACACTACTGGCTCGTATTTAAGTGATTGTCCACTAGGACTCTGAGATCCCTCTCACAGTTACTACTATTGAGCAAGGTACCCCCTATACTATTCCTGTACATTTGTTTTTTCTTGCCTAAATGTAGAACCTTACTTTTTTCACCACTGAATTTCATTTTGTTAGACAGCGCCCAGTGTTCAAGTCTGTCCAGGTCCTCCTGTATCTTAAGCCTATCTTCTGGAGTGTTGGCTATTCCTGCCAGCTTGGTGTCATCCGCAAATTTGATGAGTTCCCCATCTATGCCCTCGTCCAAATCATTGATGAAGATGTTGAAGAGCACTGGGCCTAGAACAGAGCCCTCGGGCACCCCACTACACACTTCCCTCCATGTAGATGCGATTCCATTGAGGACCACACGCTGAGTACGGCCTAGGTTCACACAACACATTATGTCAACCTTTGTTTTACTGGTTAGGGACTCAGCTTATTATGTGAACTCAACCAAGATTAAAAACAATAGCACTGTAACACAAACCTATTTAATCTCTCTTCAAAAGCAAGCCCTCTTTAATTTACCCTCTTCACAGGTATCTACAGGATTTCCGCCTCAACATTATTCAATTAAAATTTAATCCCACATTTCTTGATACACCTCAGTTCACTTACATGAGGCATTAGCTAAACTGCTGAAACAGACATATTTAAGTTTGATTTAAAACTCTGGGATGTTCTCTTCATCAAACTATGCATTTTTAAATAAACATGAGCCTTTTTTTAGGGCCCATCAGAGAAAACATTAGAGGTGAACAACAAGGTAAGCACCTTTTCTCTGCTTTTTCCTTAAAAAGCTCCTTGGATATTTCCCTTTCTCTGAGCCAACCAGTGTTAAGTTCCTCAGACCACATGCATCTCCACAGCAGGAGCTAGAAGGCCTGGGCCTTTTGCCTCATCCTAAACCAGGCTCTGGCCCCCAGATAGTCCCCCTGCGGCTTTGCCTGGAGCCAGGATGTGGCTTTGTTTTTATGTCAACCAAGCAGTTCCTCAAAGCTTTGTAAAGATGGAGGATAAGGGAGATCAGAAATGCAGCTACTGATACTGGAATGGGGAAAAGAGTCAGGGGACAAAGATGGTTAGCACTTAATCAAACAGCATGCCAGTTGCTCCTGCAGGAATGTAAAAAAAATTCCTATAAACAATCATTACTTATACAGCTGACCCTTCCCCATTGTAAATTGTCTTCCTACCAACTTTATTTGCCAATTCCATACAGCAAATGTCCTGCATCTCTCACAACATTCCTGATTTTTTGCAAAGCTGATCACCTCCCAAAGTGCTCTACAAGTACTACAGCACTTAACACCCCAGCCAATGCAGCCACTGGGTCTGGGAAAGCAAACACATCTGGAGGGTGCCAAGTTGGGACAATCTGGACTAGTTCCTAAGGAGCACAAGATTTCCAACACACTTCCTGTTAAGCAAGACATTTTGCACCCAAGCCATGCCAGTCAGCCACCCCCTTGTAGAAGCAACAAGCCAAGTCTTCCTTTGTAATTGAAACCTGGACTGCAAAAAGGAACAGATACACATATAGGCAGAATCTTTAAGCTGGGTTCCGGTTGAAGTGAACAGACCTGTTTAAGAACTCTTTAATCATTTAGCCTTTCTAAATACTTAAATAACCTGAGGGTGGGAGTGATAGACAGAAGCACACCAGCAGACCCCTATTCTCCCCCAGCTGTTTGCAACTAGGTAGAACTTATGACACTGCACTGCCACCCAGCAATTTGGGCCTGGATCACTGAGGGCAACCAACACCACAATCTTATTTATGGCAGCCTTATGTCTTCAGTCCACTGGTTGCTGAAGGAAAAAGGTCTACAATTTCAAAAGTTCAGTGTGTGGAAAGCTAAGATTCCTGGTTTTTCTTCAGCCCAAAAAATGAAAGAAGAGTCTAGTGACTAAACCATGATCTGGAAGATTAAAAAGAGGGAATTGAGAGAATACACTAGCTGCAGTACTAGAGGCTGTGTATTTTCTAACATTGGAAGGAGCAAACTGGGGCCTTAATCCAAGCTGCATTGGCTTTAGAGATGAAAAGCTTGTTGGGGTTGTATTGGTTTCTCTCCACAGTGGCAGGATCCACCCCATGCCTTTGCAGTCTTGCCAGGTGTTGGTTGAAGCACAGGGGGAAGGAAAAAAAGAGAGAAAGACACAAAGCTTACTCTGGTCTGAATCAACAAAGGAAAGGGGCGGAGATGGAAAAGGTTTGCCCCATCTCAGGGAAAACCAGAGCCAGAAAGGCCCCCACTGTGTATCCCATTTCATCTCCCCCCCTTAAGAGTTATGCTCTGAAGCCAAATCTGTAGACCTCGATTCAGTTCTATAGCCAGGAAGAAGCACTGTCTCTGGTAAGGCCTGATGCCTGGTATTATAATCAAGAAAGCTTTAAAGCAAGTAGGTTGCCTGTCCCAATTATTATGAAGGAGGGGGGAGAGAGACAAGATACCTTATTCTCGGGTCTCATTTTCTGTACCTGAGATATGTCTACGTGTGTTTCACAGCTATTCTAGGGCTGCACACTGCTTCTAAGAATATCAGACTTGCAAGGGTGACTCAAATGTGTCAGTATCTCCTGTGAGATTTTTCACATCGATGGAGATGTGGCGAGAGAAGAGACACCAACCTGCACATTTGCACCTTGATTGGGAGCAGTTTGGCCTCTAACCCAGAATATATAGCATAAAAATCCCCTGATAAGCTAAATACTGTACAGAGCATGACATATGATTTATTCCTTGTTAAAAGCTCTGAATTTTTCTGCATGTTTCCATGGGTGCTAATTCATGGTTTACTCACTTAACCAAGTTTTTTGCATGCATATGGCTAAACTACAAATTAGCCATACAGTTGTACTTTCACTACATTGTGACTGCCTTTTTACAGTTCAGCATGTCATGTGAACACAGCCAGAGAACAAAGTGGCAAGGAGTTCCACTGATGCAATTTACATAGTCCCAGTATAAATATTCCAGATATAGAAACTTTGGCAACAAGTTTATTCAATATCACCAAGTTCAATTGCCCGGCTATGGAAGTAATAGCTAATTGCCTATGCAAGGGTGGAAGAAAGGAGATAAATGAATTGCATTTGAAATCAAAGCAGCTGTTTTCCTCAGCAGTGTTAAAAATAATCCTGGGATTAAAGAGTGCTGAAGCTAATATTCCCGCAAACATCTCTCTTCTGAACCTCCTCCATTTCAATTTAACTGCCGTGTCTCTTTGTTCCGAAAGCTGCCTGCAGTTTTAGGGATTTGGAAAGCAAAATGGCAGGATTGTAAAAAAAAAAAAAAAAAAGAATAAGAAAAAGAGGAGGGGGGGACTTTCAGAATGAAAGGCCAAGCCAACTACTCTAAGAAGAGGTGGAAAACGGGGCACAGGAGAAACAAGAGCCAGACTCCTACTGTAAGCACTTTGGGGCAGGAGCCTAAAACGGAATGTCTCATTTTTTTTAACCCTACCATCTACAACGGTGGAATTATTTTAAGCACAGCATTGCTTTTGCTCCCTCCCCGGCATAAGGAACGAAAGCTCCCCTCTCCAGACCACTTTTTTTTTTTTTAAATCTACTTTAACTCGAAGCTGCTACAAATTACGAAAATGAAATTCCACAGCGCTTTTATCTTTAGCTTTTGCGTTACAGGCGCCCAAATATCAATGCCAGATTCCACGTATTTCTCTTTCCAAAGAAAACAATGTAATTCGTTGCTCTATCATAGGATCCCGCTCCCCCAACTGCAGAAGAAAAACCGAGATTCCTTCTGAGATACAGGCGCTCCCACCTTTAACCATTAGGCATTAGTTCCCTTCGCTAAAGATGACCATCGACACCAAGCACTTATTTTACAGTACGACTGTATCCGCCTTCACTCGGCGTCAAGGAGCAACTGCTTCTTTATGTTACCCAAAGCACATAAGCCCTCGCCCCCAAAAACACCCTTCCCAGTCCTCTGGCGCTTACCAGCTCGGATTTGGGGCGAAGTAGTCGCTCCCCCTTCGATGTGATAGGAGAACCTCATGGCTTTGAATTGCTGGGAATATGATCCACTGGGTTCCGGACTGGGCATCCCCATCACGCTGGCTCTCTGCATGTCTGTACTGCCACCCCTCCCTTCTTCAGTCCCCTCCAAAATCCCCCCGCGATCGCCCCCCAACCGCCAGGCTGCTTGAAGTCTCCATCAAATTGCCCCGACCTCCTTCAGAAAGGGTCTCGATTCGACCAACTAGGACGTCGCTAGAGCCGGGAAGGGGAGCGATCGGGGTGGGGTGGGGGGGGAAGGCGCGGGAGGGAGACGAGCAACCCAGTGGATTGATTTCGTTGCTTTCTAAGACAGATCTTTGCAACAAGTCGGCACAGCTCTCGCAGGAAGTGTCGCCCTGGCCAGGCAGGAATGTATCAGAAAGCTTAAAGCTTATCCACGTTGGAGCGTCTGCTAAGACCTCTGCTCTCCCACTCCCCTCGCTTCCTCCTCCTCCTCCTCCCTCCCGCGCTCTCTCCACACCGACTCCTAGCCGAGTGGGTTGGCTTTTTCGTACTGCAGCGCCAGGCGTCGAGAGCGGAGTGCATGCAAAAGCAGATTTCAATCCCTGCTCGTCGACTCTTGGCTTTTCTTTCTTATAACTGGATAGAAGTGGGATTTCATTAGCCACACACAGCCATGAAATATCTCTTGGCTTTTACCGCCTCCCCGAGGAGGAGGGTATTGGATTCCACCACCCCCCGCCCCTTCCTATCCGCGAGGATATTGACAAAAGTCTGAAAAAGAGGAGGTGTTGGCAATTTGTTTCCTCGCACTATGGGAGGGTTGGGCTAACAGCTGCTGTTGGGGGGGGGGGGGAAATCAGCTCGTTTTGAAGTCGGCTTACTTTGAGGCTGTTGTTTTCCTCCCCCCCCCTTCCTTTCTCTGTATTGTAGCGCCGTTTTTTTAAGCCTTGGTCAGGGCAAAAGGCAAACTTTGATCTCTGATAGCATTTAAAAGAAGCGCACATTGTTAATGTTGTGCTGACTGCAGATTATTACTATTATCAGCCCGAATCAATCCACTGCAGGATGAAGGTCTGAGGGTTGTGGATCATAATCCACCATGCTAGTCCAATGTGGGTGAGTAGGTTTATGGTTTTCAACTTCCCACTGACTGGCCTGAAGTTATCCAGCCAGCTTCTCTGCCCAAGGGGGGCTAGGACCTGGTCTCCCACTTCTAGTCCAGTGCTTGAACCATTACACCATACTGGTGTTCTGCTTAAACACACAGATCTTCATTTCTTTCTAACCCAGTGGTTCTCAACCTTTTTAATGCTGCGACCCCCAACCGGTCATAAGTCGAGGACTACTCAACCGGTCGTAAGTCGAGGACTACTCAACTGGTGCAGCACCGTTTGCAGAATGGGACTTTTGGTGGGCTCAGCAGGGCAGAGACAGCCTGGACAATTCCTATTGGCTTTTGAAAGCCAATGGAATTAGACTCTATTCAAGAGAGTCTATTCCATTGGCTTTCAAAAGCCAATAGAATAAAAGGGAGTAGCACAGCTAAGGAAAAGGGGGAAAAAATGGCGGACTGTGTTGTTTGGCGACCCCCGTGAAATGGTCGTTCGACCCCAAATGGGGTCCCGACTCACAGGTTGAGAACCACTGTTCTAACCCCATAGTTGGAATTCAGGAATTTATCTTTCTCGCCTTTCTAAACTTTCCAGTCATCTCCAAAATGTTAAATCCTCCCTTTATTTCTCAATCTTGAAGCAGTCATGCAGTTTTCATAATATGCATGGGTTGTTTTTTTTTTTGTTCCTCTTTCAAGCAAGTTTCAAACAAACAGTAAACATTTGATCTTGGCTTGTTTACCAAGTACTTTTATTTGTGTCCACATCAGAACTGAAATCTCTTGGAATTTTTGTTTCTCAAGAATTTCAATGAAATTTCACAATTCTCAAATGTTTTCAACTCCTGTTGTCAGTTTTGACTTGTTTTTCCTCAGACCAGCTCCTACTATTAAACAGTAGAATAATAACAATGGTAGCAGAGTTTGATAAGGATTGTATGGCCTTGAAATCATATTTGGCTGTCTTATGTTTCAAACTAATTTCCCCAATGTGAGGAGGAATAGAAGTCAATGCTGATTTAAAATACTAGCAAAAAGAAAATCTCTTTCCACGCACGCACACACACATACACACAGACCATTTTCCTTTTTTAAAATCTTTAGAAGACTGTCTGCTCTACACAGGATGGAGAAAGAAAACTCAGAAAATATGCTTGCAAACCACTACAGCTGTGATCAGTCTAAACAATGTAAAGACACAAAGCATGGTTTTTGCCAAGCCAGGAGCTACATTAATGAGGAAAGGCAGTTTTTTCCTACTGTATCTAGGCATCATGATATTAAAGCAGCTACCCCTTGATTTCTTCTGCTGTTGTGTGGAACATTTTTTCTCACCGTCAGAAATCAGCCTTGAAAATGGTTTCCTGGTTTGGCTTTTCAGGATTTGGCTATCCCATGATAGCTCTGGTTATGACAAGGACACAATGAGCCACATACTCATCAACCATATTCTGCGCTTGCATGTTGCACAAACCCAGCCTCTGGGGTCATCACATCTCTTCTACCCAGGTTTCAAAATTCTGCTGAGCTCTGCACACTGAATCTTTTGCTCCCTTACTCCCCTCTGATTCATCCTGCTATCATCTTGAGGTAATTAACTGTGGCATTCATTGCCACAAGATGTAATGGTGCTAGCCATAACCCAACTTGGTTGGGTTTAAAGAATTTGGATAAATTCAGAGAGAGGAAGTCAATCAAGGGTTGCTAGGATGAAGACTCCTCTGAGAGTCGGGGTCTCAGAAGTATGCTTCCAATATCAATTGTAGGGGAACCAATGGTCTCCACATCACTTGTGAATGCCCCAGAAGCACATGAGGAAACAAAATGGTGGACTAGGATGGCCCTTTATCTAATCCTGCAATATTCTTATGTTCTTTACACTGTACTTGGCAAATACCAGTTTAAGAACACTTCAGAAAATTTGGCAAACTATTGCAGCTTATAATTTACTAATCATAGTTAACCAGCTAACTAAATAAATCTTAATCAGTTGGATTCTCACTACATGCTAAGCAATAGATAATGTTTATTCTGGCAAAGGGCTGCACTGTTTCCCTTTTTTTCCCCAATGTCCCATGGATCCATGAAATCACAAATTGTAAGGCTGAATTTTTCCATTTGTTGTCTAGTTTAACAAGCATATTCATGCTACTGTTTTATATCCCATTGTATCCTTTTAACTAAAGTTTGTCACTTATAGCATTGTATAAATCTAAAATGGTCACTCTTGGAAGTTTGGCTAGATGAGATTTTCTTTCTGAAAACAAACCCAGGTTATAAAAGCTGGTTTGCAGAAATTGAAAAGCCATTAAAATACTAAATTACTTAAGTATTTTGTATAAATGCGCTTTTATGTTAGGACTACAGGTCTAGGTTGAAAATATTACCAAACTGCTAGATGCAAGTTATGGACTAGAATTTTGTGTATCTCTTTGTAGCATTGCTATTTAGTAGCTTTACAGTTCAGCAGCCCAATTTTGCACACAGATCTAAGTTAGTATCTAGCTTCACATATTGCGCTAAATTATATTATAATTTACCTACTTTGATTCCTGTGCATCTGAGACCCTAAATATGATAGTATATAAAGCATAATTTATGGTATATCTTTATAAAACTGATTAATTCTAGTTTTGAACATACCATAGTTAAGCATGACACTGCACTAAGTACAGTGTGAATCCAATCTCTGAGTGTTTCCATGATACATGAAGTATACTGTACTGTAAAGAATCAACAAGCCCACACTAACTTATCTCTATCCTGTCTGACTCATTGATCAGAGATGGAAACTGACCTGTAGCCATGTATGTTTTGTAAGCTGTAGCATCTGGTTCAAACTCCAGTTTCTGCACAGCAAATTGACAATATTGATCACTTCTGAGATTCAAATAACATACAGGTAGTCCTCAACTTAGGACAACTGAGCCCAAAATTTCTGTTGATAAGAGAAACATTTGTTAAGTGAATTTTGCCTCAGTTTACAACCTTTCATGTCACAGTTGTTAGGTAAAGCACTACAGTTATGTTAGTGACACAGTTGTTAAGTGAATCTGGCTTCCCCATTAATTTTGCTTACAGTAGGTTACAAAAGGTGATCACACGACTCTGGAACACAGCAACCATCATAAATGTGAGTCAGTTGCCAAGTGTCTGAATTTTGATCACGATCATAAGGATGCTGCAACAATTGTAAGTTTGAAGAATGGTCATAAGTCACTTTTTCCAGTGCCACTAAACAAACTGTTGTAAGTTGAGGACTACCTGTACAGTTTTGTGTAACAAAATTCAGACAATTACTCCGAAGAGATACAGAGAACGAAGCCTTTGCTTGTCATCTAGGAGTCCTCCTGAATTTCTCAATCTAGATCTAGTAATCATAGGTAAACATAATCATTTGCTACGGGAGGCAAGATGGTGGTGCATACAAAAGCTTTTCCCAGTATTTGTAATGGTGTAGCATTGTGTGTAACTGCAATGGAGGTTTGTGGAAGCTCAAATTTAAAATATACTTTGCTGTAAAAACCCACATCTTTTTCCATTTCTAATTCTGGATATGATACCAGTCATTTAAATTTGATACTTAGATGCTGCTGCTTGCTCACATAACAGGGAGACATCTACGTACAGGGATTCTCAGGCCAGCAAATGTACCTCTGACCAACAGCCTCGCTGTTCCTGTGGCTTTTCTAGATTCCTCTTTTCCCAAATCCATTTGTCTCCCTTCCAAGAGACCCAATTCCAGCATCGCCCTTCCAATTTTAAATCATCTGATCTCTCAGAAAAGGTAACAGAAGATGTACTGTGGCTTGTTGGTCTAGGTGGATCTTCAGAAACAACGTTCAATAGACCTATACTTTTCTCTGCAAGAGCTCTTCTCTAGATCTGAACTGCTGAATTAATTTCCAGCCAGAGAAAGGAATCCAGGGTATTTCCTGTTCTCTCTAAACACATTTAAAATCTTTTTTGATCCTGTGTCTTTTCACAGATTCAATCCTTTGATGGCCCAAAAAAAGAGGAGAGCCAGAGTAAAAACTCAGGCATTTTGGCTACTTGCATTTCCCATTTCCCCCCCAGATTTATTCATGTCATTGTCTTCTGAGATTAATGCCTAGTTTTACATATCTTTCAGGTCTACATTTTAAAAAGAATGAATTTATTTATTTTTAATTCACAAACATTTATAGAGATAACTCGTGTCATATTGTTTTGTGACATTGATTGGATTTACACGTTACCTTGAGTTATATTGCTTAAAGATAGTTTATAGAATGAACCACAATTAGCTGGGTTCATATAAAATGCTAGGACATAAATTGAGCAAGCTTCATAGACTTATGTTTTCAAGTGCATTTTAGTCTTTTATATTTTGTGGATACAGCCAATATGGCTGGCTTATGCTACAGTGTCTTATGCAAACCAAGGTAACTGATTTAAGTGATCAAACCATACTGTGATTAAATTAACCAAAGAAATACATGTTGTGCAAAAATCACTATTATCACTTAGAGCACTGTGCAATCAACTGTTCCATGGATAAATATTTCATTTTTAGGAGAGGAATATTAGCATTGCACAAAGAACTTTAATGGCACTAGTTACTAAGAAGTTCTCTTGCCACTCATTCACTCACACTTGCTAAGCCACCTACAAACATTTCCAAAATTTAGACATCACGACCA